ATATTTTAGAGAAGAGTTGTATAATATTTCGAGCACGGCTCGTCTTCAGATACATAGGCCGAATGACACATAAAAACACGACAAGAAACGACGTCGACATAGGATAGAAAACAACAATCAAACGCGTGGAACGTGATAAGACTATAACAGGCGTGACAAAATATCTCGGAGCTTTACATCAGGAAAGATGGTGATAAATATGCAGTAATTTTAAAAATAAAAATTCAGCACAATCATACATATTGTGTTGAATTATACAATCATACAAATATACAATTATTTAATAATGTGGTGTAGACTAGACAGTTAGTGTGTACGTGTATAGGATGAGTATGGTACAAGGTTTAGCAGACGCCAAGACAAGGTATTTTTGTTAAGAGCTGGATTTCGGTTCCTGATTTCGATAGACTCTGTGATCCTTAGATTTGCCTCATCTTTGCAGGTGTGGAGGATGCCTATACTAAAGTCACCATTGCCTATGTGTATGGTCGAGTGTTCAAAAAGTACATGATCCCCCAAGTCTGTGCCTCGCCTACTGTTTCGAGCGTCCCCAAGATGTTCCATGAATCTGGTGCGAACACTGAACTCTATAATGTGGAATGCGCATCGGCCGCCAGATGGTGTCCAACGGCGCCGCCATGTTGCGCAGACCAGAAAGCGGCCGCCGCCTGTGTTGGGGAATAGGAAATTCGGGACTTCGATTTACGTTTGCGGCCGCTGCATCCGTTACGTTCAAGATATGTAGACACGGAACCCGGCATCCTACGCAGAATTGAGTGGAGAACAAGATGACATCTGAACAAATCCTCGACTACAGGGAACTTATACGTTAAACCCTTATAAGTCAATGGGGAAATATGGAAATTGCTATTTTGGCGCCGGGAATGATCTGAAACTATCTCAAGCATATAGAATCGTGATTTGATGCACTCCTTGCAAGGTCCAATGCCTCACATTCGCACTGTTGCCCTTGCGTGACGTCATCTGTGACGTCACAAGGGTCATAGCCTTTTCTTCAATAACTCCCGATCAAATTGAGCTAGCGAGTTGGGAAAGCCACAAATGGACTCAGGAAGACCTGCCGAATCGAATGATATGCGACATGACCTCTTTCGACCAACTTCATGACCTGGGGGTGCTGACCTGACCTTGACCTGAGGTCAACACCCTAAGTTGACCTGACCCGAACAAAAATTATATCACTCGATGCGCCTGAGCTAGCTGAACACGATGATGCCAAAATCGCGGCTCTACGGCTATTTTTGGCGAAGTTATTTACCAAAAACCGAACCCATGCCTTTGATCACTTGACCTGACCTCAGAGGTCACCGGTTGACCTGAGACCCTTACAGCGGGTTCCTACCAGTCACTCTGCATTTTACTTTGCCGCATACGACCACTTTACCGCTTAATTCTAGTTTAATTAGCGGCGCATTAGCGAGGTGGGTTCAATCAACCCCCTCGGCCGGGGCAAATGTAGGTCCGGCGAGTGAATTTGAGGAATTCTGAAGATACGATCGTGTTCCCCACTCAATTCTGCGTAAGATGCCGGGTTTCGTATCTACGTAACTTGAACGTAACGGATATGGCGGCCGCAAACGTAAATCAAGGTCCCGAATTCCCTATTCCTCAACACAGGCGGCAGCCGGTTTCTGGTCTGCGCAATATGGCCGCCACCGTTAGACACTACGGCCAATAGGGTTGAAGCGGCATTGCTCCCCTGTGGGTGCGAATCATTCTTCGTGTTTTACCGATATACGTTTTACTACAAATTTTGCACGTTATTTGATAAACTACGTTTTTGGTGTGACATTTTCCAGGAATACCAGCATCGCAGGTGTGACAAGATTTCCTATTACCCCTGGGGCAGAGTGGGGGCTCTAGAGCCCCCAATCTTAATCATGCTCAGTTACAGCATTCAATTCCTTAAAATAGCTTTGTTTTTGTTTGCTTTCCTTTTTCTTAGCAGGGAGTGTCGCGACTTTCTTCATATTTTTGTCTTGGGAGACCGTTAACGTAAGGTGCTGTTGTCGCGTGGGTCAGTGGGTGGACACTCCTGGTCGTCTGATCATGGGCGGCGGCTTAGAAAAAAAAAAGCTATACCTAGCACGATATATCTCCTACAGTTTTTGTAACTGTATGGGGCGCCATGTCACGGGTCATGACAAGTCGTGTCATATCAATACCTGTCATGATTTATCAACTATCATGACAATAAATGAAATGCGAAATGCATGTTCTTGTGCTATATGTTTGCCCCTGTATTATGTTAGCACAATTATAAACCATCTGGTATTTATTGACTGAATACATTCTCTCGGTCGGTGACGTGACTGATTGATTGTTAACTGCACATTCGTCGTTTTTGATGACTGCTATGAAAACTCGAGTTCAAATTAAAGTGGTGTGTTTAGGATCACACTACGTGCCGTTTGTGTGTGCCGCTATATCTCCTCCACCAGTTACACTGCAGGATGATGCCGCCTGGCGGGACCGTGACGGCAGGTTCTAAGCGGACAACAAGTAGGACAGTGGCGAGCGTGCGGGCACGAGCTTAGTGAAATGGCGCCCGCTGTCAAAACGATAACGGATGAGGTGCAGGCTGCCAGGTATTAGCCGCAGTGCAGTGGTCCTTCCAAAAGGGGCACGCGACAAAGATTTGTCCAGGTACTTTTGTTCAGCTTTTTTACATCCATGGATAGATCAGGGAAGTAAATGCTTGAGAATTAGATGCACGATTTCGAGTGATTTTGTGCAAAGGTACGAGGTACTGTTATGAAGGATAGTCCTAGAGCTGGATCTTTCCTTAGAAAATCTTTTGACAAGTGACTTATATTTTGCGTGGCTAGACACTTGCATGCCCTAACCCTCGCCCGCACATGGGGGGGGGGGGTTGCCACCCCCCAGGTAGTCTTTCTGCTCTGCACTCAACATTTTTAGAGCTAGAAGGCTGATTTTTCGTATAGCTGCTCCTCTATCCTTTCTTGATGTCCACTGAAAATTTCAGGTTTCTGTGACTTTGGTTTCCGAGATATGACCTTGTTTTTCAGGTCATGTCATGACCCAAATGGCCAATTCTCGACATCTTGCGTTGGCTATGGGCCTTGTGAGCTTTTGACACCTTGATTTCGGCCTTTTTTACCAACTTTACCTCCCACCTATCATGGAACATGTTGTTCGACGATGTACAGATGTCAAGGTCAAGGTCAAGGTCAACCTAGGTCATCTAAGGTAATTACGTTTTAGGCAAGCGGAATTTACTTTTTGTGAAGTTTTTTGACTGCATTTTTGGTAAAAGCTTCTCAGATAATGATTTCATGTAATATGGACACATAAACAATCGGTGCACACATCAGTATACACACAGACACACACAGACATACAAACACATATAATTGACCTTGACCTAACTTGACCTGAAATGACCTCAGCAGCAAAAACCTGGTCGGGTAGTGTGAGAAAGAGGTTCTAGCTGGCTTGGCACCAGAAAACGGCATCGTCATCGGTATATGATAAGCAGCGCACTTGATATCAAACGGTGACCCAAAACAGCAACATTTTTTAGTTTGACCTGACCTGGAATGTCAATGGCTGGCCTGAGAAGGTAAAACTGGGTATCATTGGATTTGTCTCTTCCCAAAAAATCTTTTTGGTCTTTACCGCTAAGCTCTATCTCCAACAGGAACGAAATGGCGCGGGGGTGGCAACCCCCCCCATGTGCGTTCTAGGATGGGAAAATGGCATGTGCGGGCGAGGGTTAAAAAAGCAGTGCTAGAAGATGCTATCCTATTTTTCCTCAAACAATTTCAATATACTTTCCACACCAGCCTCCCGCTCTCATATGACCCACAAACATTTTGATAATTTCGTCCTTTGATAGATATCTTGAACGACGATATATAACGCAATATTTCCCCATCCCCTTGACTTTGTAAAGCACATTTGACATACAAACATTTCAATATTCACAGGACGTTGGCCAAAACTACCGGGAATTGGCAGGTATGCATTGCTGGTTCTCATTGAAGCGAAGAACACGAACGTTAGGTACTCGTAAGAACTGGTGAAAAGACCAGACATGTTTTCTTCGATCATTCTTCTATTTACAGCCTTATACTAACTCCGAGAAAAAACTTGCTAAATCGCAAGAGCAATGTTCTTCCTCGTGCTACTTCAAAGCAGCCCTCCACACCCGTTCAGACTGTACAGATTCAGGCGGAAAGGCTAAGTTCAACACATGACTTGTTACGGATCATCCACTTCATGAAATGTGTAGGCATGTGGGTACAAAAACAAAAATGGTCACAAATCTTCCGCTTGCCAATCATAACTGCACATCAGCTGACACGGATGAGTGCTATCGGGGTTCCATCAGCGCCAGGAACTTGGTACGGACTGGCACCGACAAGAATGCGACCGAACCGTACCCCCGACCCCATTGCCACCTGGTATCGGAAGGCAACATTGGCTGCTTTGCCTCAGGTACAGGTGGGACGCGACAGCCCTGCCACCCGGTGTCGACGTACTGTATTGAAGCTACCACAAGTGAACACCATTTTAGTGTGACGCTGAAGCAACAATCTAACACCAGACCGAAACACCTTTAAAAACATCTTAATTCCCAGCTGTATGTACCTACAGTCATCAGGACCGAACTTTGTGATCACAGTTGAATCACGCAGTACTGCGAGGTCCCGTCTATCTTTGAGAGCCCCCTGTAGAACTCTGAGGCCTGAGGACCCATATGTTACCTCCGAGGTCCTCATTGGCCCCTCAGGCCTCACTTAGGTATTGGGGGCCCATATTGACACCACAGGTCGTGGGTCGCCTGGGATCAGATATCGGGATCAGGTATGTAGGATGCATGCTTTTGAGGGCCCATGCTGACATCTGCTGGGCGATGGGCGCGATGGCCCCACGCTTGCCTCAGAAGGCCCGACCGAGCGAGCTCTTTTGGACTCCACAGATATCTCGTAGCCACATCACATCAAACACATCCATGGTGTATGGTGTCTTCATTTATTGTCAACAAATCATTTGTCATCGATCTACTCGTATGCTGCATCAGTGCTTTCTAAAAAGGCGAATCGAGCTATCTGCTTTACCCTGCTTTTTCCACTCCGTTCCATCACAACACACATCAGGAGTTTTTTCATTTCTGTCACAATTTTGAACAGGCTTTGATTCACAATTTTCTATCGCAATAAAACGCATCTTTGGACGGTCATGACTAGCAATTGGAAAAGTGTACACATGCGTCCTTTGCAATGACAGATTCACAGTTCACACGCAGCTCCAAGCTTATCATGCCACTTATAACGTATTCTATGCCGGTAATGCATTTTTATGAAAATTCTGGGTGCACGATCACTGATCAGCACACATGCTAAGCTTATCAGTTATCATACCAGCTTATTTATGTAAATACCTATGTACAATATACAAGAATCACCCACTCAGATGGGTTATTCAGACTGACACTATGATGGTTGGTAATGGTATCGACATTCACAACCAGTAACCACACTACAATCAAACACTTCTTTTACGCACTTGCAATCTGTATCGCATATGGAATGTGAATCACTATTAACCAGTCGCAGCTCATGTGATATACACTATCAAGGGACGGGAGATCGGGAAGGTGAAGTACCAGCACGGTATTTTTCACTAGCATGGTGGATGGCAGTTGCTGTAAGGAGCAAATGAAACATTTTCTGGTTTTGGTAAATACTGCGAGTTACTCACCAACTCAGTCCCAACAGGCTGATGTCGCACGTTTGGTCAAATCCCAATAACCCCTCCAGCCCCACCGACACATACACAAACATCTCCCCTCCCCACTCCCCAGGCTATAATAGTTCACCTCACTTCACACCGCTGTCTGAGAATCACGCACAATCGTTCACATCGTACCCGAACGACCCCCGGTGCCGGGCGGCCCCGTTCTCCACACTTCGCGGCAGGTTCAGCTCGCAGCCGTTAGGCGGCGCTCGCGGCGGCGGCGGGACGTAGGTGGCGTTGGTAGTCTGGCAGCGGGAGCAGGACCGTTTCAGGGCCGGTCGCCGAGGGGGCGCGTGGCACCGCACAGCGAACCGCAGCTCGTTGGCCATCTCGCTGCAGAGCGATTGCTGTAAAAAGAGCACCGACTCAGTCACCAACTGAAACACACATCGTTTTAGCAGGGCTTAGTCTGTGATTTGGCCCCAAAGTCCAGACACCCTCCTCTCGCTACAGCTGGAATGACACATTTGTACGGCTCATTACATCTAGAGGGAAATTTATGGACAATCTGAGCTCTGATTACGGTGGTGATGGTGCCATGCAGTTCTGTATTTGATGCGGTATCTCACACTTTATACGGGATAACTCTTGCTCGGTGCATTTCTAGTCATAATGGAGATTGGAGAATAAATATAGGTATGAATACGATTTCATGTTACGTCGACAGTAGCTCACCGACGACTTGAATATAGGTATACATATAGCGAAATCCTTGGAGTTAAGGTTGCAAACGCTTTTATATTATTGAAAGTGCTCCTAGCCATGAATTCAAGCACACCTTATGACCGATTGGTATGCTTTGTTTAAGTGAAAACCTTGCGTAAAATCAAATAGAAGTCCAATATAGTTTCCTTACATGACATTGAATTTACCACTAACTCATTGTAGTTATCTGTTATGGTAATTGGTATCGCCTTACCTTGAGATGTCAGTAAATTCAACGGTCGAACGGTCAAGTGCATCAGTGACAAGGTCACAAGGAGAACGAAACAGCTAAACACTTGTCAAAATAGGGTGTTATAATTGGGTACGCTGGGTACGCTTCATTGAGGACTTCTAGGTATTTTAGTGTTACTGTTCATGGTATCTATATAAAATCCCATAGGTACGTGGATTGCCCTATGCCCATGTCATAACCCAAAATATATATGCTGAGGATGACGTGTACCATGCAATGATATCAACGTGATTCAAAGCAACCCAAACAGGAATCTACCAATTTACATATGTTTTATGGGTCATTTCGTTGGGCTGATGAAGGGCATTATCTACACTGGAATATCCCAAATATTATCCTTCGCCCCAGTGTGGGGGGGGGGGGCATATGTTACCACCCTGTCGCGTTTTTTTTTTTTGCGTGTGAATAAAAAACCGCGGCGCCGCTTGGGGTAGCTTTTGGTACATCAATTTTGGACAATGTGTGAAATTTTTGACCCCAGGTCATGTCAGGTCAGGTCACCAGGTCAAGTTAACTGACCAAGCCTAAAAAAGTTTGCAATCATGTCCAGCCTGCAGTGTTTGTCAGAAAGGTTTTGAACTTGGTGAATTGCATGATGTTATGGGCGCCTACAATTTGTATATCTCGGATTTTTTATATCCGTGACCTAAGGTCAGGTCAGCGGCGTGACCTTTCCATTACAAGTCAATGGAGAAAAATGAAAATGCCTCTAGATCCGTGTGTACGCATAGGAACGGTCCAAATATTTCAGAATCATAATGATTTAGACCACCCGTGATGACCAAGGTGTCATTTTTGCTGATAGCCTCTAGAAAGGTCACCCGAGGTCATTTGAGGCTACAAACAGATTTTTGCCAATAACTCGCGATTAGAAAGAGATAGAACGCTGTGGATGGTCTCATTGTCTTTGTCTTGTTGAGACGCATCGATTGATATGCAACATGACCTTTTCCGGTCAGGTCATGACCTTGACCTGAGGTCAAATTTTCAAGTTGACCTTTCAAGGTCAAATTATAGTTCATTTGACGCGTCTCGGCGAGAGGAACGCGATTCAGGCAATAGAAAAGTCGTGGCTGTTTTAAGTCGAAAGTTATTGTCGAAAAACACTTTTCGTAAAAACAGCTATTTTTGGAGTTTTTGCCCTCTGGAGGCTAAACCGTTGACCTGAGGTCAATTTTGATAATAACCTTATCAAAAGAAGAGTTTAAAAGCTATCGATTGCTTTAACATGCGTTTTTCTAGCTACCATAGTTCCTGAGATAACGGAATGTTTTCTGAAAAATATAATGACCATTGGCAAACTTTGACCTTTGATGACCTCTGGTGACCCCAATATTGATCTAAGATGAAAATGACTGTAATACTTTCAAACGTACGCATTGAGAGCTATCGACTGCTTTTTACCGCGTCTTTCTAGCCCTCTTAGTTTTTTAGTTAATAGGTGGGTGGTAGCATATGCCCCCCCCCCCCCCACTAGGGCGAAGTTGGCTGAGACAGCCACTGGGGCGCGGGTTATATTTTGTATCCCTCGATATCATTGACGTAGGGTGCTGGGTATTCTAATGATCTCACAGTTTCCCACTGGGGGTCGCTGGCAGTGGTATCATAACTTCTTCTCGAGCATCGCCGCAGTTTGCTTTGGCTCTGTATACACCGTAAACAGGTTAAACGGGAAGGTACGGATTCGTTAATCGTCTCTGACTTTGAAGAAGTCAATTCAAATTCAAAATCACTTTTATGTCAGCTTGTTTTCAAAAGCAAATGTATTAAAGTAGGCTTTCTTCCTGTCAGATACCAAGTGGTCCAACAACGAGCATTTATGTTATTGTTGCCTTTTGATGGATACTGACAGAACAAAACAGGCTTACCGCTAAAATAAGACTGATGTGAAACTGATCATACATGCCAAAATTGTGTTGGTTCATTTAGCATACAAAGGAGAAATTAGATAGACGAGCTTTTGCCTTTTGATTACATTGCCATCATCGATGAAAACGGTGGGATTTGAATGATGAACACAATCTAACAGCCCCCATCTGGAGACTCACCCGGTCGGTCTGGGCGTTTTTCCGGGAGTTCCAGCAGAATTCCAGCATCGCCACGACGATGGCCAGCGACAGCCCGCAGAGCAGCACCACGAAAACGCCACCTGGCCGACGTAAGCATTGCATAAGCATTGCGTACGCATTATAGCAACATTGGAAGCTATTTTCACAATTCTATATAATACACAGAGATGCAAACAAAAGTACAGTCTGTCTTAAAAGTACCACGCAAAGTAACGGTGGATCCAATCCATCAAGCCTGACCGAGGAAGGGCCTGCTTTAATTTGAAAGTCACCGAACCAATTGATCTGGGGAATGGACGAGAATGTCAATTGCTTCGGTTACTCAAATTTAGCTGGCCCTTCCTTGGTCAGCATTGATGGATCCACCGTCACTTTGCGTGGTACTTTTAAGACAGACTGTACACTACGTAGTCTTCCTTGCAATCCACGTGACTGTCTAGCACCGATTGTATAGTCCCTCTGAAGACTATGTTTCCGGCATTGATTTGGGCCAGAGCTAGGAGGTAATATCTGCCACGGGACCAGATAACCTTTGACGTTGATGGTGTAGCAATGAATTGATGCTGCTATTGCGACGTTGTGCGTTTAACGTGTGTGCAGAACATACAACGACATTGCAGTTAGCGTAACCTTTTGGTGAGAGAAGGGTCTTCCATTGGTAATCGAATGAGAATGTGAACGGGCGTTAAAAAGAACCAAGCGTGCCTATGTAATTATAGCATGATTATCTGTCGTAAAAAACGGTTTCTTACAACCTAGAGAGTTTATTTGCAATTGAGCTGATTACGCTAGAAGAGTTCAGACTTCAGATACCCTTATTTGATACAACTTGTAACATATGTAAATAATTATGACGAATGCTTGGGTAATAGGACTATGCAACGATGAGTGAGCTTAAACGATTCTGAGGCAGAGTAGAGAAGAGCAGTAGAGCATGACTAAATTATATCCATCTGATATAAATCATTACATTATTTTCGAGAATGAAACCCGGCAGCCCTTCTCCGTTTAATTTCGCTGCTCGTTTTCTTAAACCGCGTCCGTCTCCCACACATTTCTCCCATAAAAACCGGCTGAGCCAGGCTCTCCATTCTTCTCTCTCTGCTCATCCGGGCGCTGAAATAACGGGCGCCGTAATTTTCGGCGGCGCTGTCACGGACCCGTTATCAGTGGCCCAACCCGACACCACCACCGGCCGGCCGGCGCGGCGCGGGGCTCGGCACAGTCCGGCCCAGACGGTAACGATGCCAATTCGCAGCGTGTTAGCGCGCGGCCAGAAAATGGTCCAGCGTCGACCGGGACGACGGCGTCGGCGGCGGGTGGGGATGGGGGTGGAGGGGGGGGGTGGGTGGGGGCTGGCGGCACCCTCCGGAAACCGGGGGGGGGGGGGGCGAGGTCAGATAGAACACGGGTCGTGTGCTAGAAACAGATGAGATGAAATGGAACTGGCGGCACGAAAAAAACATCATTTTATAATAAGAATCGGGCACGAATACTGCGATGAGGACGGTTTATCTGGTAGAAAAGCGATGTTGCAAAAATGATACCGGGCTTGTACTGATAAGGTAATGAAGAACAGGAAAAAATGTTAAATGAGTGACTGAAACGTTTGTAGCTAGAAAGCCATGAGGGTAATAATTAAAGTATTGGGGTAAAACAGTAGCGATGGAATCCACAAATACAGTACATCATTGACAAGCGTGGGCTTAACATATTTTCGAAAAAATAAAGTAAAATATTTACTTTAATTAACTCAGTATGATGCTGTAAAGAACTGGACCGCATTCGGCACTCGGACTGCAGCTTCATTTAACAACGCACTCTGCTATTTCGGTAGAGTGCTGGAAGCTGGCAGTGCGCCGTCGACTGACAAATTCGGCGATGAGTCGGCAGTGGTTCGGTTCTGAGCCATCCGTCACCAATTTTACGGCTGACAGCTGCCATCACCGGGGTCAGCGCCGACTGCCCCGGGGCATAGAGCTGGCATCGTGCCAGGTCAGCCGGCGGCACACAGCACGCTCGGAAATGACGCGGCGCTGCGGGAAACTGACAGATAGACACACATGTCGATTGTCTGCTTCAATAATTATCCAGCTGGTATGAATTTGTTTGCTGCTGCCTAAGAACGATACCAGAAAGTCGCACCAATTGGGGGGAAATGTTGAAGAAAAAATGCAATAACCAAACAACATGACATGAGACTTGAATACAATATCTGTAGCAGCTTCTAAATCTTAAAGTGATTTTCATAGCCCATGGAAAGGATTGCACAATGCACATCTACAGGCTGCTAACAATATTGCATCAAGAACATCCTCGCTAAGAACATCTCCCTGCGGTCCCTGTCCTCTGCGCCCGAACCGCCACCCCCACTGACCTATGTTGGCGATACCAAGCGGGCTGGCCTTGGAGTCCTTTTTCTTCTCGTCCCTGCTACACACGTCCCCGGTGTCCTTCCACCACTTGTTGTACAGCATCTGGATCACCCCCTTCTCCTGCAGGTCCAGGATCGCCAGAGAGATCTTGTCCCGCCACGGAGAGCCTGCGGGTTCAGAGGACGACACGTTCCGTGTCGGAAATACGTAAATTTGTTGGAGCAAATTAGGGAGGCATCACAACCAGTAAAGAGCAACAGCGTAATGATTTACTTTACACAAGGGTTTGAATTCAATTCGCACTCAGTAAAAAATAGAAGACAAACTTTCCCCAACTCTCTACTCTCTCTCTCTCACTCTCTCTCTCTCTCTCTCTCTCTCTCTCTCTCTCTCTCTCTCTCTCTCTCTCTCTCTCTCTCTCCCTCTCTCTCCTATCCGTGTCAGTAACACCCCACCCTTATCGACCCGCTCCTCAGCCCTCCCTGTCCCCCCCTCCCCGTTCCCCAAATCTCACCGACTGGCATGGCGATGCCGTACCCCTTGGAGTCGAGCAGTCCTCCGACCTGGGTGAGGTTGCAGTTGCGCTGCACAATGTAGTCCAGCAGCGTGGACTCCATGAGGAAGGCGTAGTTACCCTTCAGCACGCGCTGCACCCCCTCCTCGTAGTTGGGAACGAACACGGACGGCTTTCGGCTCTCCATGAACTTCCACATCTTCTGGTACGTCTCGATCTTAGAGTCCTGACACAGAGGAGGTTATTTGTTTTCTGGTTGGGGTTGAAACTGTTACAACGTGCATTTACGTGTGGTTTGGGTCTCATAATGCCATGATAATGCTCATGATAAATGTCACGGTCGTTACAGAGAAGCTGTATGTCCTCATTGCTTACCCTGAAGAACGTCATAGTTGATCCTCCCTCCAACGTTCCATATTCGATGTCTTCCTGTTTTGCCAAGTCCGCAGCGCTCTCTGAAAACCAGAGGGAAATCTTGTACGCTTCGGAAACTGTTTCAATCAATCTCACCTAAATAATGAGATCGCCAACAATAAATACATAGTCACGATGCTCAGGCGACATGGGATTTAATTAATGAGCTTAATTAGGCGCATTTTCTTTTGTACCGATTTATTAATTAATTTCCGATGTCTTTCTTTGGTACCATTTGGAAATTGTTTTGGAGAATGTAATTTATTAGTCTTAGAAACATTTTTTCCTTCCTCATAAAAACAGCAACAAAATAATCGACGATGTCATCAGTGATAAGGTAGCGGTCAGCAATTTCATTCAGAGGTGACAAGTTTTTGACAAAAAACAAACAAACAAACATTTAAACGCTTTAGTTGTGCCTTGATTTGCACGATTCAAAATCATGCCAATACTACCAAATATGCAATAAAATCATATAGGCCCAATATCAATCATAGCTCTAGTTCGAACCTCAATATTCCTTTCATAATCCAATGCAGGCCTCATCCGGCTCTGAATGTGTCCCAGAGCGCCCAATTACTACCTTTGCAACTCGCTGATTGGCTTCGACAAAACTTTGCCAATGTCTTTACCCGCTGCTGTGCGGTCTTTGGTACCACTTGGCAGAGAGTCGCCTGAAAGCTGGTCCTCCACAGCACAGTAAGAAGGTGAAGCCTCTCAAGGACCGAGGGACCGGACCAGGCGGGCTCTGAGACCGGGGATCAGCGGACCGCTGCCGGCTGACAGACGCCGTTTTTGTTTGCAAACTAGCTCGATGGAGCGGTGCTCTGAAATTCTACTCCGACGATGACCGCGGCTTTTTAGGCCCGCCACGCCAGCCAGCCTGATTGCAGGATTGGATCAACCGCAGGCCGGAACGGGTTAGCAATGCCGCAGCGGAAAATGGAAAATGGAAACTGGTTAGTGGGAGGTGGAACCTTGACGCTCATTTTAAAGCGATTACCAGGGACAGAGGAGCATACACATGCCTCACAAATTTGTAGTACCTATTGAATGGTCACGGTGCAGGATGCTACGACGTTGCTGAAAATAGCCCCCCCCCCCACACACACACACACTGCCAGCTTTTCAATTAGGACCCGTTTTATTGCATTATCATGAGGTTAGCAATGCAACGTTAAGTGCAACTCATTGTAATGCATGCTTTCACAAAGGAGCAAATAACCCACCTATAGGTGTCGAGGTCCGTTCCACTGTGAGGAAGGCCGCCAGGTTGGCCGTGTAGGACGAGATGATGATCAGCGTGAAGAACCACCAGATGCTCCCCACGATCCTCGTCGAGGCGGCCTGGCGACAAGAAGGCAACATCGAGGCTCCTAATGGAGACATCAACGCCATGAAGTCGCTCAAATTGAGCACCGTTCGCATTATGTGCGACCATTTCACCAGGAAGTGCTACATAATTTTGTTCTAATATATGCGTTCACTGGAACAAATAGCCGCCTAAGTACTCGTCTGTCATCATAATAGGATTATCTGGCACTGCTACTAAATCAGGCTGCGCTCCTTTCCTAAAGTGGCTGCACAGATGTGGTAAATAGCACGGAACTAGTTATATGCTTATTGGTTATGCCTAACTAGTCTCTCCTTGAATATGAGGGCTGCGCACCTAATGTGATAGAGACCTTTAGAAGATGCAGCATTCATGGCAATTCCAAAGAATCTCCCCGTGGCCATCGTGCTCCCTCTCAATAAGTCGAAAACGAACAGCTATAATTTTAGGTCTGACTTCTTTCTAAAACTACACAAGACGAGGCATTACTACAGAATGAAGCTAATGCTGAATGCAAAAAAAAAGCGTTTAACCAGGATTCTGCCACTAATAGGTGAAGAAATGATTGCATAATCAACAATGACATAATCAACTAATCATCTGCCTAAACCACCGGAGTTACTAAACTATCCACGGGGGCCACCTTTCCAAAGTGAGACGCCCTCGCGCGGCCGGCGGCGACTTTTCGGCCTGTTTTTATCCCGGCGCAGAGCCATTTTTCACGGCGGACGTTAGCCTCGAGTGGCTTCCCGCCGGCTCTGCGGGGCTTCACTACCGGAGCTCGAAGCTCTCCATAGCTGCGCCAGCTCCGGCCCGTAACGGCGCCGAGGCCGGTGAGGTTGGAACCATCATTGATAGAAACTTACTCAAAAGGAGTGTTCTCTATTGAAAAAGAAAAAGCTAGAAAAGTTACAAGCCCATCAGACTTGTTTTCAACTAGGTCCAATTGTATCAAACTGCATTACTATTTTTTTGAAATAAAATGTATTTGTGTTAAGTTTACAATGATAAGGAAAATAAACATAAGGTACACGTTTGCTCATCAGTACCCGTCTAACCCTCATTCACGTTCGTTAGGCATGAAACAAGTAAACGTTTTTTGACTGTGTGAATAATTATGCAATGAAAAGGCACCACCATTGTTTCGACTACTTTCTATTCACATACACCGTGCAATGCAGCGGGCCAGAGGACAGATGAGTCCTATGGCATCATTTGTCGACTGTGTACAGCGATATAGCGTCGACGCTAATAGAGTCGGCCCGGCCGGGCGCGGGTCAATTAGATGGAGCAGATGGGGTCATTAGCTGCGACATGTTGGACACACGGCGGGAGGATAATTTGCTACCCGGGAGGGAGGGGGAGAGAGAGAGAGAGAGAGAGAGAGAGAGAGAGAGAGAGAGAGAGAGAGAGAGAGAGAGAGAGAGAGAGAGAGAGAGAGAGAGAGAGAGAGAGAGAGAGAGAGAGAGAGAGAGGGAGGGATGGAGGGAAGGAGGGAGGGAGAGAGAGAGAGAGAGAGAGAGAGAGAGAGAGAGAGAGAGAGAGAGAGAGGGAGGGAGGGAGGGAGAGAGAGAGAGAGAGAGAGAGAGAGAGAGAGAGAGAGAGAGAGAGAGAGAGAGAGAGAGAGAGAGAGAGAGAAAGAGAGAGAGAGAGAGAGAGTCTCGAGCCCTCTCGCAGTAGTGTGACTTATCTTAACCCGAGTTCAGCCCGGAACCCTGACGTAGCAGAGAACCCTTACCTTGAAATTCATCCCGGACCCCCGTCGCAACAGTGTACTCTGTCCAACTCTTAAGTGCCCTGCTCTGACCATAGGGTTGTGTTCCGGTCTCCTCTTACCTTCGGGTTCAGTCCGGATCCCTGTCGCAGCAGTGTGCTCTGACCATAGGGCTGTGTTCTGGTCTCTTACCTTAGGGTTCAGTCCGGAGCCCTGCCGCAGCAGTGTTCCGGTGATGAACCAGAAGCTGTTGCTGACGCTGAACTGATTCTCGACCACGTCGTTATCGTCGAAGCACGGGTGCGGGTTGTTCCACTCGTACGGGCTGAAGCGCGCCATCACGAACATGGTGAAGGAGACGACCATGTAGGCGGCCATGACGTACAGCCAGATCTCCACCGCCAGCGGGTTCATGAAGCTGCCGGACAGAGGGGGAGAGTGAGGGCGGGATGAGGGAGGGAGCCGTGGGGGAGAGGGCTGGGCACCGAAGGACAGACTAAGAACAGAGAGTGAACAGGCGATGGCTAACATTTAATTAACATACGAACACACTCAGCATGAGCTGAATTCATAGTATGGGGCCCAGAAGAGAGAAGACTGAGTCAGGTAGCCCAAAATGTCACAGAAAGTTCATATAAAATAATCTACGAGTATGTTGCACGAATGTACAGAAATATGACAAATCTCTAAACAGAATAGATCGGAGAAGTCAGAAAAGGGTATATCACAAGAGAGATCACCTCCATTATCCAGCAAATCCTGTACCGAGGCATTTTTATGATAAACAACTATGAAGGAATAACAAATTTTCAAATTCATGCTTCAAGCTAATCACTTACAACGCTCTCTCACCTGAAAAGGCGTGTTGGCTGGCTATTTGGTACCTGCAATTGAGAAAAACAGTCATAGAGTTGACAAGGGGTCCATTGCAACATCACATTAAACACCTAGGTAGCTGTGTCTCACATTCAGTTATATATGTATGTGTAAGTGCATTAACCTTCCAGGCGGTGGGGGGGGCATTTTTTTTGCCCCCCCCCCCTTTAGTTTTTTCGATATATCTCGAGAACCGCTGCGCCGATCGTCACCAAACTTTCAGTACCCTCCCGGGAGCAGCTAGCGCACATGGTGACCAAAAATTTTTTTCCAAAGGCTATGATAGGTTGGCCGCTAATGACGTCAGAGTGACGTCATTTTTGCCGTTTTCGACCCAAAAAAAGGTTTCGCGGGAAGAGCTGTCAGGCCTACAACTTTAGAGATAGAGAAAAATGATTCAAACATAAAAGGTGTGGAATTAAAAGGGCTACAAAACTGCTATTTCGGTTTTTCGAATTTTTTGGATTTAGACCCCCAAAAATCAAAAAATAGATTTTTTGAATATAATAGCCAAAAAATCCAATTTTTTTTTGAATTTCGAAAAAAAACCGGAATATATGTGATAGCCCCTACCGCCTTCTATCTACATACCAAATTTGAAATCGATACCTCTTTTTTTGGCCAAGTTATAGCGAAAAAAACTGTTCAAAATTGATGACGTCAAATTTTCAAACTCAATTTTTAGCAATTCTAGACCTCGTAGCTCAAAACAAAGACCACCATTAGACTCCCCGTGACGAGCTGCATCGAATCGATACCCATTTTATGCAAAAATATCAACTTTAAAATTTGACCTTTTTTGACCTGACCTTGACCTGACCTCCACCAGAAAGTGACCTAAACCGTATCTGATGGTCTTATAACCAACACCATTGAGTTGGAAATGTAAAACTGGCCATAAAACATGCATCGCATAACCCTAGTAAAGTTGGGCTCATGTGGTGACCCTTGGTGACCTTTGGTGACCTGACCTGTGACCTGACCTGGTATGACCAGTGACCTCTAATAGCAACATATGTACTAGACAACTGACGCCTTATCGCTGATTTTCGACAAAATGCGTTTTACTCGGTGTTATAGCGCTTTCCCTAGAAGCCCGTGAACGGTGAAATATTTTATCTTTGACCTGACCTGTGACGTCATCGGTGACCCCGAGGTCAATGAAATTTGGTTTCCTTCGACAAATTTGACAGGGCTATCGAACGCCGTTTGAATTTTCCGGATCCGTCCAGTAGTTTCGGAGATACGGGGGGGGGGGCAAAAAAGTGCCCCCCCCCCCCCACCGCGCGGAAGGTGGCTGGTAGGCCCACCGCCTGCCGGGTTAAAGACACGTCCTTCCTTGATCAGTATGCTGATTCCCAAATTCACTGCAGTCAGTCCCTACCTTGAACAGTATGCTGATTCCCAGATTCATGAACGGTTTGGTGAAGTCGATAACTCCCTCTCTGGCGTAGTTGATGGTCATCGAAGCGACGACCAAATCTGCTTTCTGAAACAGCGCGGGGCACCTGTTACAATGGTAATGGCCTTCGATTTCGATTTCGATCTCGGGCCATGCAGATATTAGAGTGACAAAGTTATGTTAGTCCAGCCTCTACAGTAGCGAAATAGAAGTCTGCAATCGACAAAATACATAGCATTTCATTGAGCTAATTTTTCTTAATTAACGTTACAAAAAAATGAGCGAACTCACTACTTTCGTCAATAGTGCAGGCTACAGCAAAACCCATTATCCTTTCCCCCGAGTAGTTTGAGCTCTATTCGAGTTTCCATCAGCTCCACCATGCTCACCAGCTCGCCTCTCACCTTGTCAATGAGCCGTCTCACCAGGCCGTCCCACTCCCCGGTGACGGCGTCCTGGTACCCGAACACGCTGTCCGGAGCCAGCTCAATGCGGTACTGGAACCCCACGAGCTCCGCCACCCGCTCCAGCAGGTCCACGCAGAACCCCTCAAACTGGGGCTCCGAGCCGTTCTCCGCCGGCTTCAGCATCATGAACGGCCGCTCCTGTGCCGGGGACGGGTGCAGGGTGTGAGGGGGTGCAGGGGGTGAGGGTGCAGGGCGTGAGGGTGCAGCGGAGGGGTGGGGTGCAGGGGGTGAGGGTGCAGTGGAGGGGAGGTACCAACTGAGGAGCAAGGTGGGTGCAGCGATGTGAGACACCCTGGGGTGTTCTGAATAGGTTTCTCTGCGGAGAGCTGAGGAAGGGAGCATAAGTTCTTTCTCTAAATTGGGAGTACAATGCGTTTCTTTCTCGGAGAGACCATCTCATGTAGGTATTCATGTATCCTGCACTATTTACAGCAGCAATAAAAGAACCACGGACAGAATAAACAGGTGATGTGCATTACTCGTTGACTGCATGTTTGTGGATGGTGTTGTTTTAGTTCCTAAGGCCTTTGCATTCCTTCTAACCTATGACGGTTTCAGGTTTACGCCCAGTAAAATCCGAGCCTCTGTTCTTTGTTCGGCGAACATTTGCATTGGAAAACGAATTGCGGTTCAGCTATAAAAGGCGCCTAACTCTACTCTAAAAGTAGCGAATGGCTAAGGCGCGAGGGATTTACAAGTGGAGCGCGCGAATCCACGCCTAACGTAATTTGTTTGTAGTCGTAAATCAGCTCAATGGGATTCAATGTTTTGAAATATGACACAAGATACACATACACAAATATAAAGCGGTAACTGCACGTTTAATGACGCATCGATTTATGAAGATTATTTAGCAAAACCAGGATCTCTTTCTCTGACAATACCACAACTCACAATATCTGACAATATCTCTTCAAGAACTCGAGTAAAACATCTCTTAGTTTGTTGTGTGGCATAACGTCAATTTTTATGCATTTTTTCATTTTTGTATCAACTACGAATACATCCCAGCTCAACAACCATAAAACTCATTTTTATATTAGCTAGTTATATTTTTTTTAACCTCATAGGCCAATGTGCGAGAATTAAATTGGCATTAGCAATATACGAGGGGCGTTCAAAAAGTTCTCGGCCCGACCATGAAGGAGCAGAGATACGACGTCGACTTATTAGACCAAAAATGTTCATTTAGTCAAATAACCACCGTTAAGACAAAAATATTTCGCGCAGCGCTTCGCGAGAGGCCCCTGGGTCTCCATAGCCAAGTGGGGTTTGGACGCATCTGGCACGTCCAAGACGGCTGCTTTTGTCTCCTTGCTGTCAGCGAAGTTGCCACTGCTAAGCAATTTCCTTATGTTGGGGAAGAGGTGGCAGCCTGAGGGTGCAAGGTACGAAGAAAAAAGTGGCTTTGACAACAACTCGAAGCCACAGCTCACTGCTTCGCTGATCGTCACCCTGCTCATGTGTGCTGGTGCGTGGTCCTGGATCAGGCGCACACTTTTAGTCAGCTTCCCTAGTCTCTCCTTGATATCTGCTGCTCGCTACTGTTATCGAAGGGAGGTGTAGCATTCATCATTAATTGTGCCCCCCTGTTTTAGAAAGTTGACGAGCAGAGCCCCGCCATCATCCAAAAATGCAACCACTGTCACCTTGCCGTCTGACTTTAACACGTCGCACTCATTTGGTGGCCTTTACTCAGTGTGCTTCCACTTGTGCAACTCGGTCACGCCCTGATGGTCAATGTGTGACACCCACAATCCCTCCACGGTAACAAGTAGTTCAATGAACTCTTTTGGGTCTTCGATATAGGGGCCAAAATTTTCGCGTTACGCCTCCTTTCGAGTTTGCCTTTCCTCTGGAGTCAGCAAACGGGGGATGCATCTTGCAGAGATCTTAAACATATTAATACGCTGTCGAAGAATGGCTTTGAGGAACCTGATAGACACCTCCGCTTCTGCTGCGTTGTTTCAGACCAGAACATTTGTCATTTTTCACAAAGAAGTGCTTATTTTTTCATATTTTCTTGAGTCAATGCTGTTGATGGCTGGCCACTGCGGGGGTGACCATTAATGATCTGTTGACCAAAATTGAACAGAGATGCCCACTTTTTGACGCTACTGTAAGAAAGACAAACCTCAACATGTGTTGGCACTAGCTTTTCGTGAATAACGTTTGGTGCATTTTTCTGCAATACATGAACCAAATCACTGTTCTCTTCTGGGCGTCACCCATTCTGACCGGGAAAGGTAAACTATGTTACGATTGATTAGCAGCCTGAACCAATCACAGGGCAGATTGGTTAATGGCTACGTAAGTGGACATCCCAATAACACATCATTGAACACACCGCGTTGCAGGCCGAAATTCCAACTCCTTCATGGTTGGGCCGATAACTTTTTGAACGCCCCTCGTATATGTATAGTTGTCGTTCAAAATTATTTTTCAGTTTGAACACGCAAACTTAAAAAAGCACTAATGGGCTCCGGAAAGGCATGCCTTTCAGGAGCAAAAAAGTAATAAATAGGTATGTCATGTATTACCTAGCTACGTATTAATTTTGTCTAGATTTTTGAGATCATATTCAGCTCAGTATTTGATCATTTAAAATTTAAAACTTCAATAGAACATACAAGATCAGCCCAGCGTTCCCGACAGTTTAGACTGTCCCGCCGCACCGTCCAGTTCCCACCCCGTTCTTCCGGCAGCAGTTCCGATCACATGACCGGCCGGCGGCACCAGGTGGAGCCGTCAACTGACAACTGAACAATGTGTTCAAGCGCAACTTTATCACGCTGCACATGCAGCTGCAGGTAACGCCACTGCATGGATGACGTGTGGTGCTGCTATCATTGCAGTATCAACTACTCTGCCTATAGTATTCAATCACACAAACATCACTTTGACGTCTGCAGTGAATGATGTGATGTGCTGGTAATATTATTCGATGCTTCTAAAGAAGAATAACTCCTGGTTCTATGATGCGTAGGTAATTTGTAACGAAGGCATCAACGGACTAGGGTCGAATGGTTGTAAGACAATTATTTTCTGCTAACCTTATCGATGATTTTCTTGACCATGCCGTCCCATTCTCCTGTGACGGGGTCTTTGACCCCGTACCGCTTGTCCTGTTCCTCGCTCAGCTTATACCTGACACAGCGAGGCGTCAGACGGTTGGCACCGGCGTTTTCTTAGTTTGATATCATAATCCACATATTATATTGGCTGAGGCAAGTGCGAGTTGGAAACCTTTATCAGCCATGCTCGTGTTTGAAATGAGAAATGTAGATTATACATATCCTTGATAAAACTTCTTTGAGTGTTTACGAAAGTGCAGCTGTAATGCAACATCTTATCAAGACAAGCTTCATGACGCTATCAATTACTCAAAACATAACTACTAGCCAAAAATAGGAATTGCAAAACTGCTATTTGTTGCAGGCGTACTATACACTACTCTATGAGAGGATGAAATAAGTTGAAGAGACAATAAGCAAAATTTGGAGTATTTTTTTTTTTTTTAACAAATACACCTACCTAGGAAGTGAAATTGTCAGTGCTCTATAAAGGCTGGTGAATTTCTCCTAAGTAAACGGAGGTTGGTCTGTTTCTAATATGTAGCTCTAAGGGCCGACTTAGTTTTCTCAGACCTCTGGGGATAAATATGGCCGTGCACTGTAATGTAATAATCATTTTACTTTGCTGTTGAAGCAAGCTACTTTATGTGCATTGAATGTCTATAGTTACCAACACCAACTTCGAAAAAAATGATGCTGAGACTTTGGGAAGCAAGAAAGAAGTGCCTGTATAAATTACAAGGTAATTCAAAATGTGCTGATGGTGAATAGAGATATTCCAATAACATACTCCTTTTCAGTGCAGCCTAAAAAAAAAACATACTGCTTTCAGGTGCTTGTAAATCGACGTGCGGCATTCCAATTTCCACATTGTGAGGCTGGGGACTGGGCAGTTTACCTGAAGCCCACTATGTTTGACAGGTGATTCAGCAGATCCACACTGAAACCCTCGTACCAGGTTTCACCGGTAGTCTCGTTGACGTGTTTAAAAACAAATGGATGCTCCTGAAGAGAAAAAGTGATAGCTAATGAATAAGAAGGTAAAGCCGGTGAATTTAATAAGAGAATCCCTAAATGAAAAGCCATAATACAGGTCGCATTACAAGTCCCGGGTCTGAATCCTCTTGCATTATTAGCCTCCCACCTGTAAGCTCACAGCTATCACTCCCATATGACCGAAGGCTCCTCGAATGCCGACACTGCTCGCCGCAGAATCACCGCCTCGGCTGCTGACAGCGTGATACTGCGCCGGCGAGCACGCGTGTGCTGCGGTACAGTCTACCCTCTCGTGACGCCGGAACGAAGCCCGTTGCGGGCGGCGTGGAGCGAGCGATGGACAACAGAGGACCGCACGGCACGCAAGAAGCTCAATGTTGTAGAAAATGGGGTAGATGTGGATTTGTACATTTCTCATGTGTTTCAACGTTATAAGATAAACGAGAGAGTTTTTACACGCCTGATAATGCCGCAATTAAATGTATTGTATATGCATTGATGTTAAAGCAACATTTGTTGTCGCTGCTTTTTTGCATTTGTCTTATGCCGCATTACCATATGCGTATTTTTTTCCAGAGGCGATTGCATCCAATTGAGTCGAATTTGGCAGCATTTTCTGAGCGGAACGAGCTAACGACTCGCCGTCAATGTTATCAGTGCGCAGCATCTGTCTCGTCGCCGAGCGGCTAATGTGGCGCCCCGCCAGTTAGCCTGATCGAAACTATCTCCGGAGCAGCTAATCCGCCGTGAAATCCGCCGAAGGGAGGTGTCAACACGTGCTCTGAAAGTGGCAGATAAGAGAGCGAAAGGGAAAATAATGACAAAAAAGCGGCCAAGTAAAATGGTCTGAAGAAATGTGGTAGGAAATTGGTGAACTAGGATTATGATACCAGAAATCCAGGGCTGGTAAAAAGCGCCGATTCGCTGATAATATCGGAGCCAGAACAATAGCTGTACAAGCGATTTAGGGAGCCATAAATAAGCGTTTCAACGCAAGTATGCATGTGCAGGATAACTGCTAAGTTTTGTTTCATATTTTCATTTTATTTCTACGACAAACCTCAAAATACAAGATGCCTGAGCACGAATATTAAATTAGTAACAGCATTTAATTTCCCAATGAGGTCTTATGCGCAATGTTTGTCTACAAAGTACAAAGCTGGTAGCCTATTCAGAATAGCTGTAAATTCTTACCGCGAACAGCGTCAGCATTCATCAGTCGAAGAGCCATCAGTCGATTTCCAGCTTTAACACTACGGAGAATAGGGCTCCGTAACTTTTATCAGTTGATGAGGACCTAGTGTTGAGGGAACGGGGAGCCAGAGAGCCTTCTACCATTGGCGGTTCACTGTATTACCGACTAGTTTAGAACACAAATAATGATATTCAAGTGGCCTTTTCATTTTTATCAATGTCAAGTCTTGTGCAGGGTTGCGGCGCGGGCAAATTGTACATTTCATGGTATGTTGGTTGTTGTTCGGTTGGATTTGAAGTTGCTCCTCTTCTGTATAGTACATCTCATAGCAATATCATAGACCACCTACCCCAATATTTTAAGCTGATCAAGCTGTGGAACTAGACATAAATATGGCGCTTGTTTTTATTTTGAAGATGCATACGGATACTCAAGTGGCTAAAGATACTCATTTATTTGCCAACCAACCCAGTATGTTTAGCATATTTGTTACTAAATTAAATTAAATTTTGAATATCAAGATATGTTCCTCCTCTGCATGTTTTTCTTTTTGGTACGTCATAGTATCATACTCAAAATATGCTTATATAAGGAATCCTGATTTATATTTCAGGCATTTTGTAACTAAAATTAATATTAGATTTCACTTATAATGCCTTTGTGTTTCAGTTCTCATCTTAGGACATCATCAATCATGTGTATCTCAGATGACGCAGACAATGACCAGCTTGCGGAAGATCTATGCTAGTGGGCGAGATTGAGATGATGAAATTTCCTCTGTTGGTGAGTCAGTATTATATTTTTTTTTGTTGTCAACAACATTCATTGCCTTACATGCATTTGTGCCCTACATTTCTGTCACCAAACAGTTTAAACAAAAGTAGAAGAAATTATATACCTACATTCTTTTGCTGTGTTTGACGCCAGCCGGTGTCCCAAAATCAGGATACATCAGTGAGCTATAAGTGAAACTAAAATAGTTACTGATGATGTTTAAGGTGTTCCTGAAAAAGGACGTTGTTCACCGCACTTTCAAGCCTCTTCTGTTGCGAGTGTTAGGAGCCACTTTTCATGGCCGAAAATTTGGTCAGAGCCACCAAAACCATTTTTACCAGCCCTGCAGAAATCATAGGAGAAGTTGTTGACTGTAATATGTAGAAGATCATGTATATGGTTAAGTGACCGAGGTGCAAGCAATTATTCATCATAGCATAAACGACACATGAATGCGACAAAACGTTGAAAAATAATTTTTAGATAGGAACGCCCGTCACGTTTTTGACGCTACGCTTGATTGTTACAATTTTAACGCCCATTCAAATTAAACCTCGCCCATGTAGGGGGGGGGTTGGTGCACCCCCCCCCCACCCCTGAGGTTTTTCTTAGCTACACGCCGAACCGTTTCAGATAGCCTGCTCAAATTTTCAGTACCCTTTGGGGCATCCTTTGCGCAACTTTTGGTAATTTTTTTTGTCAAGGTCACGTCAGGTCACGGAGTTATGACGTCATAAAGGGAACAAGCTCCGGCCAGATTTACGCTAAATTGGACATTGCATTGGTATAAATGCCGACTGACCTGACACACTGACAGATTGTTTTAGAACCACAACTGGCTGATTTGACATTGGCACAATGTCCGTTGACATTTTGAAGGTTACTAAAGGTCAAGGTAAGGTCAGTGACCTCGTTTGACCTGTAATGACTTCTTGCACTTGTATGCCTTTTCGGGGTATTTTGATGCCCTGAATTCGAATTTGCAATCCATTTCAGGCATCGTAGGTTGTTTCTTGTAGTTCTTTTTGGGTCAGGGTCAGGTCAGTGACGTCACACGCCTGACGTGACCCAATGCACAAATGACCTTGCAGACTTCCGATGCTCCCAACGCATCATTTTTAGAGTTTTGACATCGAAATATACACCAAACGATAGAAAATTGATCAAGGATCACGATAGTGAAGGTTTCAAGTCGATATCTCTTACCGTTTTTTCCGCAATCAGCGTGGAAATCTGAAAAAGTTATATTTTTCCGAAAATTTGACCTTTGACCGGTCATAAGTAGGTCAAATGTTGACCTAGGACCAAAAAATATACCACCAATCGCGAGATCTCGTTGAGAGCAATCCGTTGGTTTTTTCCGCTAAGCTCTACGACGCTCTGTTTTCAAACGCCAGGGGGGGGGGGGGGTCGCACCAACCCCCCCCTGCATGGGCGAAGGTGGCAAAACACCGTTTACGGGCGAGGGTTAAGTGACTTTTCCACCTTTACATGTATAGTATGAGCTTGGTGTGGGCACTTGCAACATCGAGATATGCCTTGGCCGTTAACACCCACCAAACGACTGACGTCTCAACATACCCATCCCCCCCCCCCCACTTCTCGAGCCGCCTCACCTGGATGGTCGACACGAGCAGGGTGACGTTGGGCAGGTCGGTGCCGTAGAAGGCCGAGCTGTCGGTCACGTTGATGCCCGTCCTGTCACTCCACCAGCCGACCTTCTTCATTCCGGAGGTGGTCAACTTCATGAGGTCTAGCTTCAGACGAGTCCGGCGTCCGCCGGAGAACTGGATTGGGCCCGTTAGACCCGGCATCTGGACCTGGACACACACAGCGGGGTGGTGTGGATAAAAAAGCCATCGTATATCCTGGGGGGGGGGGGGGAATTCAAATTTACCTACCTCGAGTTAGTGCCCGTTATAAACAACGGATGGCCACCCGGCACGTTGGTCAAGAGAGGAGCTGCCTGTTCAGCTTCATTATCTACGGTGACAGATATATACATATTGTATAATCGTGGCATGCATAGCACGACTCACTTAGGGTGATATAATTCACGACGCTGCAAAGCTTGGTCCGTTCCTACCTACTGTGCTAAATCTGATTTTATTCTTCTCATTCTCTCCAGTTCAACGTTACATTAGAAAAATATGAAGAACGACAGATATCCGTTTCGCGGAGCGTGTATTGTGAGCTTTACAGAGGCAGGCTGAGAGCACTCCAGCTTTATCAGTCCGCTTTGATATCGGAACTCTCGAGGACTGAGGAGTGGTGTCGGAGTGGAGTTAAAAACATATCGCGAAACTGCTGTAAATGAATTGAAGAAATGTGCAACGGAGCTAGTGGTGGTGCTAGTTGGTTCTTCATAGTGCATCCACCAACATCATTGCAGAAAAGCTATATTAATTATATTGTGTTATTGACAATGTGTCGAGTCGAATTTCGGAGTAAAGCCCACTACTATCAGCATTCAGCAGAAAATGCTCTCAATGAGATTCGAACCCTCGCTCTCCGCTCACTGTACCACTCACCGCGCTGATGCGTTCGTAGAGCTGCAGGCCGCCGTTCCACGTGTTGAGTAGTTCGCAGGTGACGTTCGGTGTCGGCACTCTGCCCGCACCAGTCAGCGCGTGGAGACCGTGAGCAAACGCGTTCACTGCGTCATAGATCAGAGCCGTCTCCGCCTGTGAGAGAGGGAGAGGGAGAGAGAGAGAGAGAGAGAGAGAGAGAGAGAGAGAGGGGGGAGAGAGCGAGAGCGAGAGCGAGAGAGAGAGAGAGAGAGAGAGAGAGGGGGAGGGAGGGAGGGAGGGAGAGAGAGAGAGAGAGGGAGAGAGAGAGAGAGAGAGAGAGAGGGAGAGAGAGAGATAGGTAAAGAGAAAGAAAGAAAAGGGAGGAATAATAATCATTTGAATAAAGTAATCCAAGGTTCAATGCGTAAACAATTCGCATTCGCATTCATAGTCTACATTTTGATACTAACGAATAGTGCTTGTATATTTCAAGTAACCTGCGGTTACCGTACTGACTTCAAAGCTGAATACATACATAGATAACGTAATAAAAATGCCAAATGTTGATACTATGTTATATATGCCAAATATTAAGCATACTGAGATTCGCTTGATGACACTACAGCGGTGCGATAACAATGTTACAGTCTCCACTGGATTGTGTTTATGACTGAACAAGCAGGAACATGGCTGATGAGATGAATAAATGCATCATTCGGCGGCAGAATCCACGCAATAAAGCCGTGACTATGATGATTTGTTTGAGGGGATGTTCCAGATGGAGACATTATAGCAGATACCGAATTGGTGGTTGGGGAAAGCAGCGATGATGTGGTATTGATATTGCTGTTTTATTCAGTAGCTAATCAACATCCAAATTACATATATTTTGTTAAGTGATGTGCGAGTAGGTGTCCTCCCAAGCCAAGGGGAGCCAATGCAGCCTCTAGGAGACAAAGACTGTTTCAAAAAGACGGTTGTTTCTTTTGACACAAAATCTGTATGACATCCAGTGCGGATCACGTGACTCGTTATAAACCCAACGAGTCACATGATCCGCGCTAACAAATTCTTTTCCTCGCATTATGATAAAACGCCGAACATTATCACAAAACACACCGATTCCACGTCAATCATATCAAAAAGTCCCCATCGTAAGACAGATTGCGCTCATGACGTCACCAGAGCGCGGTCATTTCGTCATCATTTAGCGACTGCCGACTGATACCATCCGCTGCGTCAGCCAGCGCCATCCAATTGTGACTGATAGAGGCGATTAGGTACCGATCGGTGGCGTCTTCCGTTCGGCGGCTGTCTTCTGCGAGTGACGAATGCGAATGTTCGTCGAAAGAGGGCAGCACAATTGTGACAAAAGCGCATTTATCTCAGCGCGAAACAGAATGTCGTGATAAATTGCCTGATGGCAGGACAGGATGAGTCAGATTGTAAATGGGAGTTTTTAATGTCAACAGTGGCCGTTGAGTCTGATGACGAGGCTATTTCAGACGGGACGGGGTGATTTCGGAGATTGCCGTCTCGTCAAAATCCAGTAAAGGTTGAAAGTGGTGACCATCATATTAGCAGAATGACTACACTAAATGTCGTCTTATGACTATGTATGTTGGATCTATAATCTATATCCTATCTTATTTTGCATGGCGGGCACGATCGCTTTGTCGTTTTGCCCCAACTGAGTTAAAGCTTCACAAAAAGGTGCCTGATTCGTTACGAGACGCAGCGATTAGTTGCCAATTTTCAGCTGTTAGGTCAATTGGTATCTGGTGACTTCTGGAGTCACAAAGGCGCAAAGGCGAGATGGTTAATAAATAACTTTGGTAGAGATAGTTAGATGGTCGTATAGCAAGCCTGTATATGTACTTACATAAGTGTAAGTGCACCACCGGGTTTGTCATCATCAGTCGCGTCGAGTATTTATCATCACTGAGGCAGTGTGTCAAAGCTGATCATACGAAAACACTGTGCATGACTTCAAGGAGAATGGCAAGGAAAATAAGTGTAGTCAATAAAATGCTGGAACTAACAACGTGAAGAATAATGCGACCAGCAACTTATAACGTTGCAACTCTCAAGCTGCAGCTTCTTAAGCTCCCAGTCGAACTTGTATCCCTGCCAATGTGGTGAGCGTGACCCTGACGACGACATCAGCATACCGTGGTGACACCCACCTTGATGACGTTGGTCGCGGGCACCATGACGGAGCTGACGGGCTGAAACTGCTCCATGGCGGCCAGTGAGGCCTGCACAAGGCCGCTGGAGGTGTCCACCAGCCGGTAGCCCGTCATGTTGACCCGGTTGTACCGGAAATCCTCCAGGTCAAACGTCTCCGTGTCCTGTCACATGAATAGCTGTGTTAGAGATGTTGTAGCTGCTAACGAATCAACAGCTATGAACTACATACATTTTGTGCTTCGTGTCCTAGGCACCATATAAATGTTGATTTCTTGTTATCATTAAATGCCTTGAACTTTTGTTTCATAATGGTTAGTTTCAAGTAAAAGTTAATTGATTAGCGATAGACAATGATATTCTAAGCGTACATGCATAACAACGTGGAGTTCGGTACAGCGGGTAAAGGCTCGCTCTTCGTGCTAGTTAGATCAGTTAAGTAAAACAAGTTATTTATGCTAATGGGTATCAAAATTCTAAAATTCAAATGGAGCTTACCACTTCTTTACGTTTGAAATCCAACACCCATTGAACTTAAGAAAAAGTTTTCATTTATGTTAATGCTAGTCCATTTGAAGTCAATTTTAGATAATGCAAACCACTCGACGGCACACGTGTAACTGGTCAAATCAGTGCCATCTTTAAGTCACTTTCAACATGCTGCTCCTTTTGTAAACACCTTCAGAGGAGAAACTTGGCAGCTAAGTAACAAGGTTACCGCTTCAAGCGCGTCTAACGATCCTCGTAAAAAAGAAACACTTTGTGGTAATCGGGTTAGCGCTGGTTAAAAAATGCTTATCTCGCAAAATGAGCGTCTTTTTGTGAGCCTCAGCGCTCGCTGGAAGTAACGACCGGAGTCCTCTCCCATTTTCATGCTATTCCAAGTCGGTGAGATCAGGGTGAGTGTCGTTTACATCAGCATGAGACAATTTGCATAGAAATGGCCTCCTCGGCTGCCCTGATAGCGATGTGGTGGAAATTGGCCAAAACCAGAGCTCTTTCACACACTTCTCGGGGAAATATATGTAATGCAAACTCGTCCCATTCAATCACTACAATCAGCGTTTTACAAACAATGCCATTGATACATCGATAGGAGGTAGATGTAAAAATGTTTGAACTATAAGAACACATGTATAGCTGTCAAGTACGCATAAATGCGCATTTTTTGCGTCTGTAAGAATGTAAATAAACGTATCTCTATGGAGAAACCACATTCTTCTACATGCTTTGGAGCATATCGCACAGAACGCACTGCAGAGATACTCACAAATGAGGTGAACAGATAGTGATGGCGATCGTCGTTCATTTGAAGCTGCAGCAACTGCAACAGAAAATAATCGAATGTGATGAGTGATCGCAAAACACTTCCCCAGTTGGATATCACGTATCATCCATCGGAAAGCAAGCGGCTTTTCCGCTAGAACAGTTTAGTTGAGGGTATTCAATATGCAGTGTTCCGAGGCTCACTGGCGGGACTCCCAACTGAGATGGCCGACGGTTAGTAGCGCGGTCAATTTCAAACCAGATTAAGTCGGCGATTGGGGTGTCCATCCATGTAGACACACTGAGAGCACCAATTCAAATGCCAATGTCTTGTCTGAACTTCATGATTAGACGGTGGACCAGGACCAGAACTGACAGCCTAAGAAGTTTTGACATACAGATTCCATTTTTCACATTTTAAATTGTTTGCAAACGTGTTTATTGAGCCTGTCTTAGTGACGCCGTACCACCATATCTCTTTTTTTGTGTTCGGTAGTTATGCATGTCCTTACATGAGGGTGATGGTCATGCAAATTCACACGGCATCAGGCGCTTCTCCACAAATTACAGTAGGAACTCAGTGCCTTTTTAGCATTAAAAACACACAAAAAAATATTTTACTTATTAAAATTGTCATGTATTGAAAGTGACACTTGGAAAATATTCCACAAAGTTTTTTCGCTTCCATCACATCTCTCCACAACTGAACCCGGCGAGGCGGCGACTGCAGCTCTATCCAAACAGTCAGACCAACAAATGTGTCTTTCGCGTGTGTCGATTTTCTTTATCAGCGAATCCTCTCTCGCCGGCCGCACATAAATCCATTCCGCAGTCCGGACCGGCCGTCAAAACACGGACTCGATCCAGCGAGCGACCGGCGGAGCCGCGTCGAATCTGCGCCGCCACCGCCGCCACCGCGCCGCGCTGTCACCGTCGATGCTCGCGCGCCACGCTGGTGCATCGGAGCGTCACAATTGTCGACAAGTCACCAAGTGGCCCCGAGAGGCGCGTCGATGAGGCGATGGACGCGTGCCAGCGAGCGGCGTCGGGCGCGACGGAGCCGACGCATCGAGCGACGGCGGGCGCGGAGCAGCGGGACCGGGGCTGGGGAGAACGATCAACTAGCAGAGCTTTGATCCCAGATGCCACGCCAAGCAGGAAAGCAATTAGGAGGAGTTGGGAAAGGAGGTTAGTAATAGCAAAATTAGCTTGTCATTAGGTCTTTAGGGTACACTTAGGGAAGATAAGCATGCTGCAAACGTCCATTTGAACCCTGTTGTTCCCCTAGAAATGTTTGTGTTTCTTACCCGCATTTCGGTGCTCTTGAACAATAACATAGCTTTTGGCCTTGATTGTATTTTGATGACACTTTCGCTACTCACCGAGCGCAAGAAGAGCTGAATGTTCTCTGGTTTTGTGTCGACCACAATGTTACGGATGTCCTTGTTTTTGATCTCTCTGAGGACGTCCCGGTATTCCTCTGGCAGAGCCTGTCTGATGTAGACCTCCATGTCGAGCTCGGGAGGTGCGCGCACCAGGTCCTGGAGGCGCACCAGTCCTGGGGACCAGAGGCGGGTGGGGGAGGGACTGGTGATAGCACCAGGTCCTGTGGAACAGAAAGTGTGGCACCAAGTCATGTGGAACAGACAGTGTGGCACCAGGTCCCATGGAACACACAGTGTATGTAGCGCCAGGTCCTGCGAGTGCGGACTACTCAGAGTAACACTATAGATCCAGTGAACGCTGAGTAGGTAGTGGAGAACACAGCATGGGAGCAGGCATTGAAGGCGCACAGAAGCCCTGAGAAACGGGTGGCTGAGAACTCCTGTGTAGCACCAAGTCCTGCGGACCATAAATGAGAGGTGAATAAAACAGCGATAGCCCTGTAGGCCAAATATGGTTTTGGAACACTCTGAAGTATCAGGTCCTTTGGACTATACAGCCTACAGGATTGGTTTGGAGAGCAGTTACGAGTAAATGCTAAAATTTAGTAGCATTGTACCTACAACCAAACAAAGATGGGCGGTTGGAAACACAGCAAAGCCACAAGATCCTACAGACCAGTACTGCTGCAGTACTGCAGTCGGACGGCAGGTGATTGTTAGGCCTTATACATATATCCCTGTTGATGGTTGATGCGTCCTTGTAACTTCTTCATGCTCCGCTGTGCTCAGACGGACAGTATTGATGCGTATTCATCGCCGATGGGTCTCTATTAGCGCCGATGGCGGGATACATATCCAGCGTTCTAGGCATCCCGCAAAGATACGAGATACGCTCCTACATCAATCACTGACCAGTCGCTGGCCCTGATGAGTATTTTTATTTCCTGATGATGCCGATTGATTTCGCGTGGACAGAATGTCTGGAGGTGATACGGACGATGATGGATGGACAAGCAAGCAAATGCGCTAATGATTACAGACCAGAAGGAACACCGAAAAAATGGTAGGGAATGCGCAAAAGATGCTCCTTAACATGGTTGGTTAGTGGCTTTGCGAATCGACAACTTTTTCCTTACTATTACACAACACCTGACTTATTCTGAATCATACTGTCGAAACACATTCGATACGTCTATTGCTAAATAATCACTTAATCTAATTCAACCAGCATGCGATACAGCCGCAGCATCCCAGCAGCAAACGCCAATCGATACTCTGTTACTGGACTGCACTACCGAGCCGATAGCTATTTTGTGTTAAAATGAACAAATCGATAACATAATCTCTCTCTTCTCTCTCTCTCTCTCTCTCTCCTCTCTCTCTCTTCTCTCTATCTCCTCTCTCTCTCTCTCTCTCTCTCTTCTCTCACTCTCTCTCTCTCTCTCTCTCTCCTCTCATC